AAGCTCCTCCAGAGCTTCAGTGCTGTGACCGCCATCAGCACGATGAGCTTTGAAAGCCGACGGAAGACTGACAGTTGCTGCGCGAAAAGCTCGGGAGAAGGCGGCGGGGTACCAGCAGAGTGGCACGGTGAGCCCGAGCCAGAGCTCCGGCCAGGGTGGGGTGAGAATGGCGCGGAGAGGGCCTCGGGGAGCACTTCCTCGAGGACATTGCAGTGCAGGTGGTCTTCGGTTTTGTGCCTGTGGTAACAGTGCGACATCCACGTCTTCCACGCCTCGTTCCAGCCGGTTGCGCGTACCCAATAGTCCAACTCGGCGATGAGCTGGTAGTCCGCGTGTGTACTTGAGGGAGGTTAGCGAAGTGTTTTTGGGGCACGAATTGCTGACTCACCGATTGCGGTAGATGCCAGGGTTATGACCCCGCATTACCACGTAGAACGTGCCACGATCCTCGACGGGAAAGGGGAATGGGTGGATGGGCGGGATGCAGATGAGCCAGGTGGAAGACATTCGGCACAGTGAAGGGGACCCGCGAGGTTGCAGATCAAACAAAGCAAAAAAAGTGGTACAGCCACGGGCCTAGCCTCTACTTCCGCCAGTCCATGCCTGCCCTCCAACGCGTCGAAGAGCTCCAACACGTCGAAGAGTGAGTGACCTCTATAGTAGCAGAAACGTCCTAAGTATTCTGACGACTTTGGACTATCTACCAGATCCCCGCGAGGCGAGCGCTTCCTGGAGCTCGCCTTTCCTCTACACGCTCCCCCTCTCACCCCGTTCATTTCGTACGACTACTCGTGCCGCCTGCAAATATGCCATCACGGGTGAGCCACCGTACCCTTTCCCGCCTGCATCCCGTCCTGACTCGCCAACGAGAAAACTATACGCTCCTCTCATCGCCTCCGTTTCGTACGACTACTCGTGCTGCCTGAAAATATGCCATCATGGGTGAGTCGTAGTACCTTTCCCGCCTGCATGCTATCCTGATTCGCCTAACTATAGAAAACTTGTCGCCTACAAGCCTGCTCGTCCTGACTGCTACCTGTAAGTTGCAGCGCTCATCATATCTGTAATTCGGTAGCGCTGAGGTACTTGTGCAGTATCATCCAGCTGGAAAACGAACCTGTTGAGTGACGGGGCGAAGTTTTAAAAGCAAAAATGTATTAGCTATCGCCTGCTCTATCGTACAGAAAGTGTATAAGCTGTCGCCTGCTCTATCGTACAGAAATTTCAATCATAGTTTGCTGGAGAGGCAATCAAAAAATGATGCCAGGAGCATGTGCAGTTGTGGCAATGCAGCTGTGGCCTTCACCGTAAACCCCAACCTGCACACTCTTCTGCCTCCACCGGAAACCAGAAAATGGCCCAAACTGGTACGATGTCTCACCCTCTTCCCTCCCTTTCCTTTACTGAGACCAACGCGTCGACGCGTTCGCGCCAAACGCGTTTGTTGGCGCGAACGCGTCGAAGCGTTCGTCTCAAACCATACCACGCGTTCCTCCCCCCTACCCTTCTCTGGCGACTGGATCCGCCCCTGGAACCGCGCTGCCCGTGCTCTCCCCAGCCCTCCCCCCTACTGCTTTTTGGCGTCATACGACCGCAGCGCTAACCTTAATACGCGCAGGTGTTGTTGGAACTCCTCTCCGACCTCACGCCTTCGGACGCGGATGACGACGACGCCACATTCGAGCCCGATCCCCCTACCAACCCCGACGCCACCAACAACGCCGCCAACAACGCCAAGCCCAGCCACTCGCAAAAACGGAAGGCACACTTTAAAGCCCGCCGCAGCGTGAAACGCCAGCGCGGCTCCCTTACAGCCGCCCTCGAAAACCCAGCCCTTCCGTCCACAAACCCCACGGGCCCGCCCTCCTAAAGCCGTGGCTAATCGACTGGGTGGACGGGGCTTCTGTCGCACCAAGACGCCGCATTGGGTGATGTGCCCGAGCCGCACGTTGGGGAGGCAGGTGAGCTGCCCTGAGTTCGTGGAACCCGACAATGCGATGGAATTTTTCTAGGAGTCCCTTCGCGACCTGCACGTCCACAAACCCCACGGGCCCGCCCTCCTAAAGCCGTGGCTAATCGACTGGGTAGACGGGGCTTCTGTCGCACCAAGACACCGCATTGGGTGATGTGCCCGAGCCGCACGTTGGGGAGGCAGGTGAGCTGCCCTGAGTTCGTGGAACCCGACAATGCGATGGAAATTTTCTAGGAGTCCCTTCGCGGCCTGCACCTGGAACTTTTGCGCTGCAATTTGTGCGCTACACCTGGACTTCGCGAACCTGGCATGGGGATGGTGCGCGATCACCGCCCTCGGGAATTTCAATCCAGACCGCGGCGGGCACCTAATCCTTTGGAATCTGAAGCTGGTCGTGCGCTTTCCACCGGGCTCCACAATTTTTATCCCGAGCGCGCTCCTACGGCATTCAAACACCAGCATTCAGCGCGGCACCAACTTCGACGTGACTGCCTCCCCGAGGACCACTTAGCGAGGGCGGAACGGGCACGGGAACGGTGGCAGAAGGGCCTCAACATGTTTAGTGTAGTAGATGACTTGTAACTCGGACTTAAATGCATCTGTCTACAGTCTACGTCCAGAAATGCCTAAGTCAAAGTATCGGTACGCGGGCGTCTAATGGGCGTTTAGTTCAGAACTGCCTTTTATGGGTGACGGAACACGGGCGTCAGACGGGCGTCAGACAGGCGTCTGTCTCCAGAATATCACGGTCGGTCAAAGTTTTGACTCCAGCACCCATCTCCCTGACTCTTACCGCTCAGCCAGGCCACTAATAGCCTCCTAGATCTTGCCCGCTTCAGTGCGTATCAACTGTGTTCAATCAGTTTACCAAGCCTCATGCTCTTTCATCGTGCCCATGGTCATTCAAGTTTCCTACTGGATTTTTCCTCTGGTCACCTAGCGAAATGGGCCGCACCCAAAAACTCAAATCTGATGAAGAAAAGCGAGCCGCTAATGCTCTGAAATGCAAAACCTACCGGCAGACCCCTGCGTACGCTTCGGTTGTCGGCTCAAACTGGCGCACTAACTAAATATTTTTCTCCAGAGGGAAGCTGGCCAATCGCAAACACAAGCGTAAATCGGCCAAAAATGCCCCTCTCATTGCCTTTCCCGCCCTCAGCGAAGCGCTGGTACACTTAGCAAGTCTGCCACTGCCCCGCGAGCCTGAGGCTGCGTACATGGCCTTTGCAGATGGACGGGACGGTATTATTGACATGGACTTCATCGCCAACTGCAATATCGGACCGTGGGCCAAACACCCGCCCTTCCCCCCGCCGCAATGCGACCTGTCGGATCGGTCGCGCGATGTTGAGGTGCTGGCTGGGTGGGCGCTGGGCATTCAGGTCCGGGATGAGCCACGGATGTGCGCGGATTGGAAGGCAGAGTTGGCGAAGTCACCTCGTGTCGCAAGGGCAAAACTGCGTGAAGAGCTCCACATGTTGCTGTCGGGCTTTGAGGCGCTCACAAAGCTCGACTACGTCCCTGGCGCCCCGATGCACACCATGGTCGAGTTGTGGATGCGACTTGATGCCCGTAAGATTCAGCTACTTCACTGCATTCTCCAGTAGATACTAGTATTTTGTAATTCAGCAGGTGTCTACATACACAGGTCTTCAAAAGATTTCTTATCTAGCCAGCATTAGGAGGCGCCTTTCGGGTGAACATCAACATCACCAAATAAATGTGCGCGTCCCTTGGCTTCCTCCGTCTATGAAAGTTGACGGCAAGCCCGAAATCAACATCCCTGAGCCCAGGAACCTCCCTGGGTCCTGTGCCCCGCTCTTCGTTCCAGTGAGTGTTAGCACAGAAAGCTAAAAGTTGACTCAGTTTTTTCACCAGCTACAGAACTGGAAATCGCGCGAGAGGCATGATGCAGCATATATGCAGCATTACGCATTTGTGCCCTCCTCTTTCAGAGTCTACACGTTGGGGTGCAGTTTATTCCCTTTCTTTGCGTTTTCGTGTCTAATTGTTGCAGGTCAACGGCAAAGGAGGAGTGCCCAGGTGCTGACTTTGAGCGCGTTCAAACTTGGGACGCGGCTCTTGAACGCGCTCGTGCGCACTGTCAAGCGCATCACAAGCACAAGGGCGAGAGCCCCGACAACCTTCGGCCCCAACTCGGCACCGTTTATGAGTCGGAGGCACATGCTGCCGCCGCGGCGCGTCTATTAGGCCTCTCAGTGGAAAGCGATGACGCTGATGCCTTTTTCTGCTCGGGCAGCGGCCGAGAGAATGCGACTGCGGACGGTGGCTGCGAGAACGCGACTGCGGCTGCCGCGCATAGCCCAACTCCTGCACCCGTCGCGCACGAACGTGCCGCCCCAACGTTGCGTCCTCAAATGAGGGCCAAACCTCTGGCACCAACTACGGGTGCTGCCACGCGTAGCCGAACTTCTGCATCAGCTGTGCGCGAGCGTGCCGCCTCAGCGTATCGTCCTCAAACGAGGGCCAGCGCCGTCGCCAGTAGCTCGTCTTCCATTTCGACAGCGTCCTCATTGTCTGCATCGTCTCTCCCTGCCTCTAGCCACGGCGCGCGTCCCGAATCAGAAAGCGCGTCGGCCACATTCTCGACTACCTCCAGTCTTCAAGGGGCCGGTTTTTTCATCAGTGGCAGCACGGGCGTTGTTTACACCAGCGCGTAAGTAGTGACATCTGTGGTGGTATTAATACTAACACCTTTCAGTGCGCAGGCCTTGTTGGAGGCGAGTCGGACGCATGGTAGCGTTCGCCCTGCTACATTGAACGAGGCCGTAGAATCCCTCAATCTCAGCGCGCACGTAGGCAGCAGGCAGGATGGGGGAGGCCATGGAAGTAGTATGCCTCGGGGAGGGAAGCGGCCCCGATAACAACGCCATTTTTCTTGGACATTTTGACGTATATAAGTGAATATTCGTAGCGTGTATTATAGTCAAAAAAAGTCGTCTTGTCCCTACACGTGATATCTCCCGAGGTCACCACCACTAGTCCTCGCTTGGACTGTACCACCAAAGCAACAGTGGCGTAGTGGTAACGCGTCCTGTCGAAGTGATGTCGGCTATGTTTCTCCGGGACATGGCTGGCTGACTAACCATCTCAGGAATTCTCGAGTTCGAATCTCGGTTGGTGCATTTTTTTTTTGCATTACCCAGAAATAGAAATGTTTCTCACTATCAGTCACCGCCACACAATAACTTCCGTACTATGTCTCGCCACCGGCCAGTCCGGTGACGGACATACGTCCAACTGTTTCGCCAAGGGCCAGCCCAGCCTTTTAGTGCGTGTCCGCCGCCAGATTTGTGATCACGTGCATCACTCTAATTTTTTTCATGACACGCTCTCGCGCCAGCCACAGTCGTGCACGGGTACCCCGTGCCCCACAACATCATGTTTTCTCCTTCGACTCGCTTCTTCCACCTGCGACCGACGCGCCAATGGAAACTTTTGTTGATCGACTGACGAGCGACAAACGACGTGTCTACCGGGAATTCCAAGCGCTCGAGCCACCCTCTCCTGTCAAACGCGCACGTCTTCAAGGCTCGGCCGTCACGAATGCAGCCACCCCTTCCCCAGCTCTGTCCATCGAGGTGGAGGACCGCTATACAATGGGGCTGCAAGATGACGCGCTGGGAGAGAATGACGTGCTGGGGGGCGATGATGGAATGCCTGAGACTGTAGCAGCTACAAGGACCGTGAAGCCTTCGGTGAGCGTGTATACTAATAATTAAAACATCTGTCTAAAAGGTGTGGTCTAGGATCCCGCTATGCGCGACTGGCTGCTAAACCACCGCGACGCGTATTTGCGTGTTCTCCTGTGGCGAGAGGGGTGCGGGAGCGCGAGCGTCTCACTTTGTCCTCGGTGCTTGGATCCGTCAAACACGCCGCAACTGCGCTGCCGAGACTGCCAAGGCGGACTGCTGTTGTGCACGGCCTGTTGTCTGGACGTCCACGTCGAGCACCCTCTACATGTCGTCGAGGTACCTCTTTACGTTGGCGTGTGGTCTCTGGCTGACAGATGGTTTGCCAGGCTTGGACTGGCGTGTATTTCAAGAGAAAATCGCTCAAGGATATTGGGCTGCGAATCCAGCTGGGACACCCCCCAAGGGAGAACTGCTCTCACAAATACCCTGGTCATGAGGAGTTCGTCGTGCTCCACGACAATGGAATTCACCTTGTCAGCGTCGATTTCTGTGGCTGCGTTCACCGCCAGCTGCCCTGGCACATCCAGCTGTTACGAATGGGCTGGTATCCAGCCACTACCAATCAGCCGAAGACATGTGCAACGTTCACATGCCTCGATCGATTCCACTCTCTGTCCCTGTTTGCAAAAACAAGCGCGTACGACTTCTACTCGACACTGGAATACCTCACCGACGGCACCGGCCTCAAGCCGCCTAACCGATACCAAATCTTTCTGCGCGTGGCTCGGCAATATCGCCATCTCCTGCTCCTAAAGCGAAGGGGACGTGGGCACGATCAGTCCGGCGTCTGGGGTACAAGCCCCGGAGAGCTTGCGATTCGTTGCCCTGCATGTCCTCGACCCGGGGTGAATCTGCCAGCTGATTGGGAGCAGGCGCCTCCCGAAAAACAGTAAGTGGTTCCAGTGTTGTATATGTACTTACTTAGGCTAACGGAAAACAGATGTCTCTACGTCCAGTTTCTCGCCCTCGACGCATGCTTCCGGTTGAAGCGAAGGGCGGTTTCCAGCGAGCTGAAAGACCCCGGTCTTGGTACGGGGTGGGCTTATATGGTCGAGTGGGAGCCGTATCGTCAGTTCTTGCTGACGGTGACGGACCAAGAAGAGGTATGTTTCCGGACTTGAGTATGACACCGTAGAGCTGACATTTGACGCAGATGAGTACGTGTAGTGGCCTGGCGGCACTAGATTACGCAAACACCAAGTTTTCTCGAGGGTACAGCGCGACGGGTGTGGGTATGGGGGTATGTGCGCGACACGAGTTTGTACAGCCCAATGGTGTTGCGGATTTGCAGCGCGGGGAAAGGTATGCACTTGGGCAGTCTTGAAATTCGTCGGCTGAGTCTAGTTCTAGGTATGCGAATATGGATTACATATATGCATCGCTTCTTCGCCACATCGACCCACGCCTCCGCAAGATCACTTCATACGATATAGTATGCCAATGGTGGAAGCAACTACGGGAGCGTCTGTTAGAACTCCCGCCCCTTGTTCGTCTTAAGCTGGTGCTGGACCTGTGTCGCTTCGTCATCCCTAAGATGCACATCAAGGGACACACGCTTGGTTGCCAGCTCCAGTATTCACTCAACCTCGTGCCTGGGAGCGGTCAGACAGACGGAGAGGGCATCGAGCGGTCTTGGGCGATGATTGGCGGAGCGGCAGCAAGCACACGGGGGATGGGACCAGGGTCGCGTGCGGACCAGCTGGACGATCACTGGACATTTTGGAGTTGGAGGAAACTTGTGGGTTTGGGTGAGCAGTTCTTCTCGTTGAGGGGTTGGAGGCTGACCAGATCATGTAGCGGCACTTACACGCCGTCGACTGGATACTGCCAAGGCGGAACTGGAGAAACAAGAGGAAGCCTTCGAGGCTTTCTCGTGTGGGCAATCGGCGCAGGTCCCTCTCTGGAAGAGTATGGTGCTCGAGTTTGAGCGAGATGGTGCCAAGAAAAACCCGTACGAAGCGGAGGTCAAGGGTATGGCTGGTCCTCTTTGTTCAGTTGGTTGGGTGGTTGACTGGTTGACAGGACTGACGGAGATGCAGGTCCGCCTGCGTTTCGAGAGTGAGGAGGCGACAGATGCAGCAGCGGCAGTTATTCACGATGTAACCCCGAGCGGTTTTATCATGACATTGCTTGACCTCGAGGATGAGCAGTAAGTGTGCCCTGTTTAGTAAACCATTCCAGCTTTGACAGACTACCTAGACGTCGCGTTCGGGTGCAAGCTGACCTTAAGCGCGCCAAGTCAACGGCTCTCCAGATAAACCTCCGCAGTCTTCGTCGCAAGCTAAATCTTGGTATTCAGCGTTTGCGTCGCCTTCAGGCGACGTTCATGCCGGCTGCATTGACACAGCTGGTAGCTCTGAACATGCCGCCAAAGACTCAAGCAGAAGAGGTACCGCTTATCCCGCCGTCGGCCCTGACAGAGTCACAGAGGGAGAACGGCGGTTGTTGGGCGGGATTGCTGGAGCTGGAGAAGGAGATGAGGGATGCGCAGTGCCGATCTGCGCTGGCCAGCTTGCGTAACCAGCTTCACATCAAAATGCGATTTTTGCTCTACAAGGAAAACCACGCCCGGCATCAGGGAATGAATACGAGGTCGCGCACAATAGTCGCACGCAACGAGTCCAAGATTCGCCTGCATTCTGACAAGTATCAGGCGGCGTGGCGTGCGCTCGTCTCGATCTCCGGTGGAGTGGAGGGGGCTGTGGGCTGGAAGCGGCTTAGAAGAGAGGACATTAGGTGCCCCCAGAATGCGGAGGAGCTATCACGCAAGGCGGAAAAACGCAAGCGCCAGCAGGAGCGGCAGGAGAAACGGGACGCTGAGCTTCGCGCAGCAGGCGAGCTTCCTTTGGTGACTTCAAGATCGACGCGCAGCACCATCGAGGATGTGGATTTCGACGACGACAACGACACAATCACATTGGGGGAAAGTCATAGAACAGTGTCTTGGATTTGGACGGTGGCAGGTTCGTCGGGAACGGATGTGGAATTGGCAGAAGGTATACGGTTTTTCTATGTACGCGTGAACTACTCGACTGACTATTTTCAAAGCCCTGCGAATAGAATGGGCGAAAGCGTGGGCGAGAACCAGGCGGTGGCGCGAGGAGGTGGAGATGGCTGTGGAGGAGTTTAAGCGGCTACCACTCACCTTCGCATTTGAGGAACAGGAGTGGGTCAAGCGCGCTCAAAAAGTGCCGGTGGGCGAGCTACCTGTCGACCTCGCGGAGGGAATGATCGCATATGCGACACGGCAGGCGGACATGTACCGGGCGTTGGCAGTGAGGGCCGAGGTGACGCGGACGGCACCCAAGCTGGGAAAGGGCTTCCGCCGGCGGGCAGTGTATGTCGCAGAGGCCAATGGGGACGGAGATGAGGATGATGAGCAGGGCGACGTTGACAGTGATGAGGAGGATGAGCGGGGTGACGTCGACAGTGACGAGGAGCTTTTGTTGGGCGGGGAGGTGGACGATTAGTTTTTATTACTGCAGAACTACTGACGTTTTTGTGCCCCATTGGGATGGCGTGACTGTGACTATGCTGTTCCGATTGAGTCCGAGTCATCCGAGGGCTTCCGCTGACTTGCGGAGATGATGCTTGGTGCCGTGTGGTGCCGGGACGCCGTTGAGGTGATGGGAAGCGATGTGAGATGCCGCAAATTGATGCTTGGTGCCGAGACGCCGTTGAGGTGATGGGAAGCGATGTGAGATGCCGGGAGCCGGCTAGATTAGATAATATAAGCCAGCCAGGCCCCGAAAGACCCGGGGATACCTGTCCAGTATCTTATGCAAAACACCTGCTGGCTCATACCAGTATTTAATGCGTAGATTTGAGCTTATATCCTGTGCAATCAATGTGGCCACACACCACGTCCATGGCTTCATTCTCTTTGTCCTCTGACCCCAAACGACGCACTTTCTTTGCGCTGCGCGATTGTAAGCAGCTCCCAAAGGCGCTTGATGGGCTTTTTAGGAGTGTGTATGAGCTTGTCGAGGTGCGGGAGGTTCTTCATGCACGACCGCACAGTCGCCTTCTTTTGAGGCATCGTGGTCGGGATGAAAGGAATTGGCCTGCTCAATAAACTTTGATTAGCAGTCCGGCTGTCTGCATTCAATAAGTACAAAATGTGGATCTAGTCCTTCAAAATTGGTGCTTTTATTCGGATTTCTGTACAGACTCGTCCCAAGAAGTATTTTCCTTCGAACGATGTTTGCCAATTTGCCTAAAAGTGCCCAGAGAGAAGCCACTCCAAATGGGATTAGTATTCCAAACTTTACAAACAGGCGGGCTAACCTATTGTTAGTTGCTCCTGCATAATGTACCACCAAAATAAAAAATAAAAAAATAAATAAAAAGTGCCCAGAGGGCCCAAACTCGACGCGACTTTAAAAATATATCCAAATCGGGAAGGTGGGTGGGAAGTCACATGGGGGTCA